ACACAAATGAAAAATATAAAGGGACTAAGTTGTCTATTCATAAGTTTTGCCTTCCTTAAATAAGATTGTGTGTCTTTCTACATTATTTATAGGACCTATTTTTATGTGTAGAAGGATATATACATATAAAAGACAGTTATAGAGAGAATATTTATATATTGTTTAAGGCCTAGCATCTTTTGACTTTATGTTAATTTATTTTATTTAAAATTTTTATGTAACCAGAAATACTAATTAATTCATTTAAGGATCTTGGGTTTCCAGTCTTTCTTCAAAAGATCACACCTTCCTAGGTGTACATAATATTTTCCTAGGTGTACATAATATTTATAAAGTTTTCTTCTGGAATTTTTACCATTTCTTTAATTTTTGGTTTTTAATTCACATGGACTTTATTTTTTAAATATAAGTAGGATCCTAACTTTCCAATTGAGTGGTCAGTTATTAAATACCATTTATTAAGCAAACCACCCATTTCTCTTGGAATTAAACTACCATCTTTGCTATATATCAAATATTTTTTACATAGTTGGATCTTTTTCTAGAATTGCACTTTTGTCCTACTAATCCATTTATTCCTATGCCAATAATAAAATATTTTGTTTTGAATAATTTTAATGTCTAATATGGCAGCTCTCCCCTTACTCTTTATTTTTACTCCCACTTTTTTTTTGGCAAATAGTATAGCCACATTTATTTCTATGGTAGAGCATTTATTATAGAAAAATAACACTTTCAAATCAGGACAAGTAAGCAGTAGTATGCTTTTCTCTTGTATACCCACACTCAAATATCAACATGATTTCAAGCCATTCTTAAATTAATAAGGAACAAACACAGAATCAAGATAGTGTGTCAATAGAAGAGTACTTATTAAAGCTACCTATCAGCCCTGGAAATCAGAAAACACAAAGTGAACTTGTACAGCTATTTTCAATTTCAGTGGGCATCAGCCTCACCTCGACTGTGGAAAAAGCACCTTCAGGAAACTGAAGGCAAATCACCAGGATAAGCAAGCTCTTGACCTCGGAGTAGCAAAAGGACTGAAAATACAAACTTTGTTTCTCAGTTTCCCTACTTTTTTATTGGTACATTATAGTTGTATGTAGTGATGGCCTTTGTTGTTACCTATTCATAGATGCACACAGTATGCAGTATAACAAGCTCCCCAGCACTCCCCTTCTACACTTCCCACTTCTTTATCCCTTTCCTCCACTGACTCCCTTTTGATTTTCATGAGATCTACCCCCACCTTTCTTTTCCTTTTTCCTCTCTAGCTTCTGTAGATGAGAGAAAACATAAGACCCTTGACTGTCTTAAGTTTGGCTTATTTCATTTAACATGATGGTCCCTAATTCCATCCATTTTCCTGCAAGTGACATAATTTTATTTTTCTTTATGGCTGAATAAACCTTCATTGTGTATATATACTTTTTTATCCATTTATTCATTGATGGACATCTGGGCTGATGATTTTATTTTTGGCTATTGTGAATTGTGCTGCCATAAACATGGGTATGCATGCATTACTGTGGTATGATGACTTCACTTTGTCAGTATCCAATAACTAGGAGTGGCATAGCTGGGCCATATGGAGGTTCCATGCCTAGCCTTTTGAGGAACCTCCATACCGATTTCCAAAGTAGTTGTACTAATTTTATAATCCCACCAGTGTGAAAGTGTTCCTCCTTCTACACGTTCTCTCTAGAGTTTATTATTATTTGTGTTCTTGATGACTGCTGTTCTGACTGGAGCGAGATGAACTATAAGTGTAGTTTTGATCAGCATTTCTCTAATTGCTACTGATATTAAATGTTTTTTCATATATTTATTAGCCATTTGTATTTCTTCTTTTGAGAAGTGTCTGTTTAAATCATTTGCCCATTAATTGAGTCATTTGGTTTTTTGGTATGAATTTTTTTGCCTTTACTGATTCTTTCCAGAATGTTGTCTTTCTTTGACATATATTCTTGCATAGGAACTTTAAAATAATTCTATCTGGTTCCAAAAAAAAAAAAAGTAAAGAAAAGAAATGGAATTCATTTGTAATCAATACTTAACAACATTTTCCTAATTTAAAGGTAAAGTATTAAGACTTTCAAACTAAAAAGTCTCTTCCCAGCAAAAGAAACAATCTGTAAGGTGAATAGAGAGCCTACATCTTGGAAGTAAATCTTTACCCCTGACACATCAGATAGAGCACTAATCTCTGGGGTATATAAAGAACTCAAAAAGCTAAACACCAAAAAAACAAATAATCCAATCAATAAATGGGCCAAGGTCCTGACAGTCTCTTCTCAGAAGAGGATATACAATCAATCAATAAATATATGAAAAAATGTTCAATCACTGTTAGCAATTAGAGAAATGCAAATCAAAACTACTCTAAGATATCATCTCACTTCAGTCAGAATGGCAGCTATTATGAATACAAACAACAGTAAGTGCTGGCGAGGATGTGGGGGAAAAGGCACATTCATACATTGCTGGTGGACTGCAAATTGGAGCAGCCAATATGGAAAGCAGTATGGAGATTCCTTGGAAAACTGGGAATGGAACCACCATTTGACGCAGCTATCCCACTCCTCGGTCTATACCCAAAGGACTTAAAAACAGCGTACAACAGGGACACAAGCCACATCAATGTTTATAACAGCTCAGTTCACAATAGCTAAACTGTGGAACCAATCTAAATGTCCTTCAGTAGATGAATGGATTAAAAAAATGTGGCACATATACACAATGGAATATTACTCAGCAATAAAAGAGAATAAAATCATGGCATTTGCAGGTAAATGGATGAAGTTTGAGAAGATAATGCTAAGTGAAGTTAGCCAATCCCAAAAAACCAAAATGTCAAATTTTTTCTTTGATAAAAGGACGCTGATTCATAGTAGGGTAGGGAGGGGGATCACGGAAGGAATAGACAAACTCTAGATAGGGCAGAGGGGTGGGAGGGGAAGGGAGGGGGCATGGGGTTAGAAATGATGGTGGAATGTGATAGACATCATTATCAAAAGTACATGTATGAAGACACAAATTGGTATGAATATACTTTGTATACAACCAGAGATACAAAAAATTTGTGTTCTATATGTGCAGTGTGAATTGTACTGCATTCTGTTGTCATATATAAATGAAAAAAAAATTAAGACTTTCTGGGTAGATATATATTTATGTGTGTGTGTGTGTGTGTGTATCAGATCCTGTGTTGTTTTTATTATGATTTTATAGTAGTAAGCAATATGAGCCTTATAACTTTCACAATGAATTTAGTTCTGTTTTGTAGCTTTATTTTGTTTTTATTATGAAAAGAGTATGATTTTATTTTTAGCTTGTGATTGCTACTATAGAGGATTGATAGGTATTTGCAGTGATTTTAATCTTATTAAATTACTTTATTAGCCTTAGTATTTTCTTATTAGAGTTGCTTTAGGTTTTTATAATAATTTACAATAATTTTATAGTTCTGTTTCCTGTACTTATACTGTTTATTTTCTTATCCTATTGCTTTATTTAGATTTCAGAAGTAATATTGTATTATATGTAGTCAGAAGCTCAGTCTTCACTACTAGGCAATACAATCCTGCACCCTTTTCTGTCCTTCTAAACTACAACAATACAATCCAGAAAGAAACTTAAATTTTATTTGGTTCTCCTTGGAACTTCAGCCCTAAGCAACTAGCTCCCTGATTTCTTTGGATTCCATCATGGTTTCCCTAACTGTTTAATTAAATTTACCTCTTCCATAGCTCAGAAGACAGAGAAGATATGTGAGGACTTCTCCCTCAAAAAAACAAAAACAAAACAAAACAAAAACCCAAAACCTAAGGACACAAACTTCCTTCTTAAGCAGGATGAATCAATTCACATCCTGTCTGCATGCCCACATTTTCTTCAGATTTTCTGATTTTTTTTTTTTCCCGTTCTTTGACTAATGAACTTGGCTTATCCTTTAAATCTCAGCTCAAGTGTTACTTTCTGAAGGAACCTCTCATTTCTTTACTTACAATAAGCTTTCCTAACACCACACACCTCTTTCAAAATATGTGTCACAGTTGGAGTTTTTATTTTGTGTATTTAAATATCTTTTTCCCCTTTGGACTATGGGATGCATAAGGGTAGGGACAGCATTTGATTTTGTCCCTCATTTTATCTCTAGTACCATGCACAGTGAACACTCTGTAGCTATCTGCTGACTGACTGTGTCACAGAAGCAGAGACTAAGATATAGCATGCGGGCCTTGATACTATTTAAACACTTTTGCAGGAACCCTAAATAAAATGCCTCTAGTTGTTTCACTGTATATTCATTACAAGAGGTTTAATCTACTCTTCAGCCTTGCAGTGGATTTTAGAATGAGTACGCCTTAAAATTCATACACATAAAATGGGAAGTTTTGTAAATAATCTCTTCTTGTCTTTGTAAAAATATTTTATTTGATCTGTTGCTTTAATACCTATATTCATCCAAAATCTTGCTAAATGAATCTTCACAGCTTACTGAGTGGTAATTTCACTTTTCAAAGACACATTATTTTAAAATATAGCAGTGGTGATATGTGCTATTTAAAATTGTATTCTATTTATTCTATTCTCATGTACTATTCTTATGTACAAACTTTCCTAAATTTAGATATTTAATGAATTTTTGTTGTTTATTGCAAATTTGTATGCATTTTAATATTGTTGAATGAATTTTTTGGTATTTACTAGTATTCATTGAAGTCAGTCTTCACTGTTATTGGTCATTCCTTTCAATTTGGAAGAATGTTTATTTCCTAATGCTGGCATATTTTGCAAAATAAATATTAAGAAAATGTGTTTACATTATTAGAAGACAATCATCTTCTCTTCAGTGCTAATGTTCACTGTTCTACATTAATGTGATTGTCTGACATTTTATTCTTTCTTTTATTACAAAAACCAGTATGGCTTTTCAAGTACAGTAGTAAAATTTGAGAGGAATAGTAGTATGAAGTTTCTTTTTTTCTATACAGATCCTGAAATGGAAAATGAAGAACAACCATCCTCTGAAAATGATTCTCAGAATCAAAGTGCTGAACAGATTATATCGATTTCTCAGGCAGTTGATTTGGTTGATCAAGAGTCTCCTGAGGAAAGTTCTCTGAACTCTCACCCAGAATCGTTGTCTCCGGCAGACAGCGATAATGCTGCAAGCCTTTCCCCTTCTGAACAGACTTCTAATCCCACAGAAGACCGTGAGACTACAAGTCTTGATGGTGAATGTACAGATTTAGATAACCAGCTTCAAGAACAATCAGAAACTGAGGAAGATTCCAATCCTAACGTCAGCTGGGGTAAAAAGGTCCAGCCTATAGACTCCATATTAGCAGACTGGAATGAAGATATAGAAGCATTTGAAATGATGGAGAAGGATGAACTATGACTCACTAAAGAATATTGTGGTAGGTATTTTAAAAGCAAAGGTAAACTGTGGTCATAGACACCCTAATACTGAGCAGGCTCTCCAGTGGGAGGCTTTAAGTATGGTGATGAGCAACCTCGTTCTGACTGGGATTGGTAGTTGTCATAGGAATCTGGAGCATGCTGTGTTAGAATTGATCTTGTTTAAACTGTCCCATCAAAATGGAAAAACTCAGTCTCCTCCTCAAATGACAGTGTTGCACACCCTGCAGCATGTCAGGCCAGGGAAAGATTACTGGGCATTTCTAGGAACCATATTCTAGTCTCTGGATAGACAAGAAACACATTCAGTTAATAATGGAGTGGGAAATAGGAGTTTGTGTAGATTTCTAATTAAAGGCTCTACTTTCCTGGTTTTGGGGTAAGAGGCTCTTCTTGGGAAGACATATGGGTTTTGTGGCATTCTGGTTATGCTGCCTTCACAAAATCACTTTAAGTGACCTAACTGGTTATGAAACAAATACATTCATGATAAAAAGTTTTTGCTCATCACTTATGCTTACTTTGTTCAGTGACAAATGATTAAGATGACTTGATCCCCCCCACCCCGAACAATGTTCTTTTCAGTTAAACCAAAGGTGAAACCAATATACTTTCTCAGTGAGTTTTCTACATAAAGACTAATCAGTGGGATGAGGTGAAAAGGTCATATGTTATGGAAATTGGTTACTTAATACTTTTGATAAATTGAGGAAGGGAGAAATTGTAAGTTGCAATATGAACTTTCCATGGGGCCTTCCATAGGGAAAGCTGTGACTACTCTTAAATGGAGCTTAGAGTTATATCCTTGTGGGGTAGATTATAAATCTTTCCCAGTCATTTCTTTTGGAGGTGGTTACCTCTAGCCATCAGCCTTACTCCAGCCCATGTTTAGTATGCAGTTTGAGCCAGCAGGCCTGGATAGCCAACCTGAATATATTCTGTTCCATTTTTCTATCTTATGGAGCCATGATAAAAGTGGTAGTAGTCTAAAATTCCCATCTTTCTCCTTTGAAACTTTTGTTTCTAAAGTTATACCTAAGGAATCTGTCACATTTTCTGTTGAATCATGGTTTTTAGGATTGTTTTTGTTTTGTTTTTTGTTTTAACATATTCTTTCTGATGTGGACTTGAAAATTAGTCTATGGTAACCTGTGTAAAAAATTTACACAGTAGCAACTACATATAGCCATATAGCTTAAGGAAATTTTTTTCTTTTTTCTTTTTTTTGGTGGCAGTCTGGTGCTGGCCACATTTAAATTGTTGAAATTTTGTTGTTGATATTGGTAGACAGCCCATTATTGAAATCATGGCTTTACTCATTTTATTTATTTTCTTAAACTTATCTTAATCAGTTATAAAGGAATATTTGAGAGACTTAATTCCTTTATTTTACCATGACATCATACAAGAACCTTTTCCTAAAACTTGGTTTTGAGGTACTAAATAACCTACACTATATATGGAGCTGTTGAAGAACAGCAGTGCTGTATTGTACTTGTGTATATTCATGTACAGTATGTCTTAGATCCCAGGTAAATATATTTTTTTATAAAGGGTTAAATACCTGCTTTTAAATTCAATCTAAACATAATTGGGTCAGTGAGTAACAAATCTAATAAAGAATTCACTTTGGTGGGAAGGGAAGGGGGAGAAAAAGTAGTATAACAAGACCTTTATTGGCCCTTAAAACCTGACACCAAAAAATGGATATTTTTAGTCTCTGCATGTGAAATTTGATGTAAGAAGATAGAACTATAATACATACAGTATACAGAAGGATAGACATAGTGCTTTGTTTATTTAATTGCAAAGCTGCCAAAATAGCTGAAGCTTAATTACTTGACTTGCCTTGATTTATAGGACTGGGGCTTGGAGAAAAGGAGCAGATGTTCCTCTAAGACTTTGATTACAGAAGCCTTATATACGTTGATTTGATTTTGTATTTGTAACTCAAAGCATTTCTGTCTAAATCTAATTCTTCTGAGTTATCAAAACCACATAATTTTTTTTTTCCAACAAGGAAAACTTAATGGCATGGAGGATGCTGTGGCAGGCCCTTTGGGAATAGCCGTCTTACTGCTACTCTCCCTTTGGCCATTAGGGGGAGTTGTTGCCTTTCACTGAGATTTAGAAGCAAATCATTCACTTGTTTGATAAACTAAATCCTTTCTTAAAAAGAGGAAAAAAAAAAGTTTAATCAGTTATACTTAATACCCAGAATGAATTATATACAATTTTCCCTAGTTAAGAATATATATATACACACACACACACACACACACATACAGACATATGTATATATGTATATATTTTTTTTCATTCAGCTTCAAACACCAACATAATTGACTCAGCATTCATTTACTTATTTGACATACTGCCATGAAGTCATTTTTTAATTCATTAAAAAATTCAAACAGCATTAGTTTTTATAATGTTTTGTTTGTGAAATACCTTGCATAGATGTTTTATTTACTTGCTAAAGATTCAGGGAACTCTATGAGACCTTGAATTTAGAAACATCTGGTCTACCTCAGTTAAATGTTGACTGCTTAGAAACAGAGCTGAAATGATCACCACAGCCATAAAATTGACTTAAGAAAGATTTATACAATGTTTACAAACCTGGAACCAAGTAAGGATTTTATCTGAAAGTTAAAAGTTATCTATTAGAGCAAGTATTTAATTCAGGTATTTTCAAATTTTAAAACTTAACTTGTTTACCTACTAAAAATAGCTATAGGTTTTTTTGCATATAAAAATCCACTGAAATAATATGCCCTAATTTGCAGTACTTTTTCCATAAAGTTTTAAGTGTGAAGAATTGTAATTTACTAGATATGTTTGGGATGGTATATTTTGTTGGGTAAGTTTTCTTTTTTCTTTTTAACTGTAATAGGCTTCCAAAAAGAGTATAATTGTTTCAGAACAAATTACTTTGTGACATTTTCCTTTTCCTTTTTTCTTCACAGTATTAGATTTTAAAATGAAAAATTGTGCACTTTGAGTTTAATTTCCCTAATATATCTCTTGAGAACTCTTTTAGATTTAAATTACTATCACAGAACCCTTTTTATAGTGAAGCCAGCATTTGTTCTCTCACCAAACCCCATGCCAAATTCATCATAAAGAAAGCTCAGCATAGGAAATTTAAATAGTGCTTATAATTTTAGAGGGGTGGGTAGAATTTAGTAAATATTCAACTGGTCGTTTTATGCACAAAGCTTCAGTCAGAACATAGAAAAAAAAACATTCTGTGAATGAAACATTGTATGTTCAGATTTTATAAAAGACATTTTTAAAAGCCCAATTTACAGCCGTATATTTTCTTATGATGTAATTTATGAAAAAGATGTCTGTACTAACAGGTGCTGTAACACTTATGTTGTTGGGTTTTATTGTTTGGTGATAAATGTATACAATATTTCTAAGGGAAACTATGTACTGTGATGTAAAAGTCTGGGCAAAATGTATATAATTCTTGTATATAATTGTGTATTTGATTATAATTACTGATTGTAAAGATTTAATAAAATATGTAAATATTTAGGTCTAGTTTTAATTTGAACTTTTAGAGTTATTGTGCATATCTTTATAGTTTGGATATCTTTAATTTTTTTCACCATTCTGTTCTCTTTTTCTTTTCATATTATCCCAGGGCATTGAATTTGGGGGACATCTTTGGGTATAGGAATCCAGGCGTATGTTGAATTCAATTCCACAACTCAGTGTCAAGATGATGGTTAGAAAAATACTAATAATTCAGTGTCAGTCCTGGTAACATGCTTATATTTTGAGCTTACTTATATTTAATAAAATCACTTGGCCTCTTAATGTTATCATCCAAAGTAACACCAACCCTTCCCTGTTAACTCCAGTGAAGTAATTTCCTTCCCGTAACCTCTATACCATGACACTGTGCTTTTCATCTGTACTGTTCAAGGGTTCTGAACGCAATTCATTGGTAACTGTTGTCTTTAAAATGAACAAACTGATACTTGAACATGTAAGCATCTTTCTCAAAGTGCACATTGAACAACTGGGCTGTGCGTCCTAATTCCCGCAGGCCCAGGCTGGGGCTCTTTCCAGTGCACTACCTTCCCCCCGGCTTTCTCAGCCTTCCTCCCTTATTTCAGACTCTGCTCACCTTTTTCTCAGCCACTTTTTTCCCACTTGACCTTTCCCCCTTCTGAGATTGAAGTTGAGAAATGATAGTTATCTATTCTTAGGCAAGGATTCTGGTCTTGGCATGTCCCCATTTGTCCAGGACAACGAATGCATCTCTGTTACAACCAGAGTTAAAGGAACCCAGAGATAGTGTATTTTGAAAGTTTTCAAAGGGGAGGTTGGTTTTAAAGATATCTATTTACTAAATATTTTAAAGGTTAATGGAGAATAGAAAGTGCCAGCCTCTGCATGCTAGTAAGGTTTCCATGTCTTAAACCTAACTAGTTGGTCTTGTTCTTGGGTTAGGCTAGTCAATTACCATCTACCCTGAGTGAAATAGCAAATGGGAGGCTACTGATGGACCCCTTCAAGATTTTCTGAACCCATAAAAGAATGTACTTTTGATATCCCAAATGACAGTGAGACAATTACTGTTTAGAAGTCGTGAGGTACTTTTGGCACAGTATTACCAAAATTGAAGGTAGAAATATCTACTAACAGCAGCAGGTAATGTTGAGAAAATACATTGGGGTCATAATACGATATAACTTCTTAAAAAGATTCAAACTTCCTCTTATGGTTGAGGAGAGAACCAAAGTCCCTAAATACACCAATGAAAGGAACGTAAAGCTAAAAGGCTGACCCACCAGCCCACTGCTCTGTTATTGGCATTTGATAGCAACATGGGGCACACCCACCTTCATTTTTTCTGAACCTCTAAGAAAAGCCAGCTCTCTTCAGGCTCAGAGGCAGTGTAACACTGCGAGCTCTCTTGTCTTTTTTCTCCACTTTCCTTCCAGCTTCCTCCACTGGTAGAGTAGATAGCGTTCTCTACTAAGTCCCTGGTAGCTGCTGCTACCAGAAATGCTAGTCTGTTCATTCAGCCACTCTGCCCCATGGAGAGCTTTAAGCTAATTGTATTCTAGCCTCAGTTGTCTTAACTGCACAATTAAAAACATTTTCAAAGCCCTGTGATCTAAGTCCCTAATCATTATTTCCTATTCTTCCAGTTCAACTTTGTCCACCAAGTTTGATAATTTTTCAGGAACCCCAATCCATCACTGCCTTTGACTTTGCTTCCTATCTTGGCCAGCATTAACCTCTTTTCCTCTTTTGAACTAACTTGGCAAAACCTTAAATATGATTAACTCCAACTGCCCACTGATTGTACACCTAGACTGAAGTAGCTGTTGGAACTGGATGAAATCACCTCTCTTACCGACCAGTCATGACTGGAAATCTCAAATGAGATTCACTACTTTCCAAAGTTCCAGGCATATTTCTTTATTTTTGCACTCTGACACAAGTCTCACCCCACTGTTTAAATCTCCCACACTCCTCCCCTGTCACTTGCCTGATCATTGAGAAAATAGATGCAGATGTAGGCAGGCCCTCAACTTCCACCAACCCATATGCCTGCTGGATACACATTACATGGACTTGCACTTAGAAATTTCCCTGCATGTATACAAAGCTTTTTCTGGGTAGCTGGACCCCTAGACTTGAATCAAATGAATGGAAAAATTGTAGATGGTGGAGGTAGGTCTTATTTCTAAGGTGACCACCAGTTTCTCTGATCTTTGGCTCAAACATTTCATTATCTCCAGTCAGAATGGCCTGACTTAGGACATAAAACGCACACACACACACAAAATCTATTTTGCCAGCTTATCACAAGACTTGGAGCCCCTTGAGGAAAGGAAAAGTTTGGCCTATTCACTTTTGTCATGCTTTCACTAGCACCCAGTTCTTGAAAGGCACTCACAAAGCTTTTGGGTATCTGGTTTGGAATATATGAAATCTTTTTTCCGCTTCCCTAAATCTCATTTGTTCTGAAAAATCCAGGATTTGTCATCACTGAGAAATGTTAAGTGATGTACCACTGGGCATGCTGGCACACACCTGTAATCCCAATGACTTGGGAGGCTGAGACAGGAGGATCACAAGTTTGAGGCCCACTTTAGCAACTTATCAGGACCCTGCTCAACTTAGACCTTGTCTCAAAATTAAAAAGAGATAAGGATGTGGTTCAGTGGTTAAGCAATCCTGGGTTCAATTCCCAGTACCAAAAAAAAAAAAAGGGGGGAGAAAAGAAATGATGTATGAACTTTGAGACAATTGTGTAAAGGTAAAGGTAATTCTAAAAATATTTTTTTTTTGTTAGAAGTCGACCTTGAAAATAACACAATTCACATAGGGATCTAAGAATTTTAGAGCTAACAGGTTCTTGAGATCATCCCATCATTGATTCTCCTTATTGGCCTTCTTGGAAAACAGAAGGCAGAGGTGGGGAGTGATTTGACCGAGTCACCACTATCTAGAACTAATTATGTCTTTAGCAAGCAAAGAAGTTCCGGTGCTTCTGCTTTAGGGTCATGGTTTTGTTTCATAGCCTCTGTTCATCCATTCCTTTACAAGTTAACATTCAGCCAGTAAGGTAATCACTAACTTCAGAGCTGCCCTGAGATGCATTTGTAAAACATCAGAGCTGTATGGAATATGGGTTAACCACCACTGGCTTAGACAATTCACTGTTCATTGTTCACACTTTCTGCACCTTCAAGCAAAAATGTCATAATTCCCTGAAAACTGGTCTTTCTCATTGGCAACATTTATTCTTCCCAATGAATAAAACCATTAATAAAACAATACGTTTTGTTCTTTCTCTTGTGCAGTTATTCATCTTAATTATGTGTAGGGGCAGAACTCCAGGCAGTGAGACCAGGATTCAGATCCTCTCTGCTGGGTGGTTTCAAACCCAAGGGTCCCCAAGCTTTGTGATGTTGGCAGAAATGGTTCCCTTTAGTCCTGAATCACTGAATCTAGCATTTCTAAATTAGAGATTCTGAGTAATAGAACTGTAAGAAAGAATGATAAATGACCTGTCACTCCCTGCCCCTCTCTTTTGGTGGTGCTTGGAATACAACCCAGGTCCTTGCACATGCTGAACACATTCTCTCCCATCCTCCCAAACTGTTTATATTGGTAAGGCAACTATGGAAAGTTCTAGATTCATGAAACCAGAGACATCACATTTCTAGCTAGTTCTTTCCTAACCTCTGTGAAACTTGGTAATACCCTGTAATAATTATGCTCCTTTATGAAATGGCTACACTTATCAGGTGCTTATAGCTTAAATGTTATTCCCATTTTATGGATGAAAAAACTAAAGCCTAGAAAGTGGTGTCTTTAGCCACAACCAGAAGCACTTTCACAGGGTGGGGGTGTCATAGGAAAAGAGAAGTCTCTTACAGGGTCCTAGTGGTGGCACCAAGGGAACTAAAGAGGGCAGTTGACTTTTTCTCAGTCTATTACATGTTATAGATTTTCTTTTCCCCTCAGTCTATTACATGTAATGTAGAAGCTGAGAGTCCAGACGCTGGAGCCAGGCTGCTGAGGTTAGAATTCAGAGTCTGCCTCTTATTCTGTGACCTTGAACTGGGTCTCCCAGTTTCTTCACCTGTGAAGTGGGCATAGTCATAAACCCATTTTCAAGGATGGCTATTTTTGGAGAAGTTGGCTCCTACCCAATATGGTTGCTATAATTAGCCACTGTGCCTTTAAGTCCCCTCCTCACACCACCTCCCTCCAGATTGCCCTCCTTAAGCTTGGCCTGTAGGTTCCCACTGTAGGAATCAGCTCTGTTGGTTGCTACTAGCATCTTGGCTGGGTGATCCAGCCTTTGACTTAGATGCAGGGAGGGCATCCCACCAGCAGAAACACACCTGCCTCAATCTCTCAGAAAACAGCAGAAGGGCCAGGCATGCATGCCTATAATCCCAGAAGCTTGGGAGGCTGGGGCAGGAGGATCACGAGCTCTAAGCCAGCCTCAGCAAAAGCAAGGTGCTAAGTGAGAATCTGTCTCTAAATAAAATACAAAAAAGGGCTGGGCATGTGGCTCAGTGGTTGAGTGCCCCTGAGTTCAATCCTCAGTACCAAAAAAAAAAAAAAAAAAAAGATAGCAGAAGGGGCTAAGGTTGTAGCTCAGTGGCAGGGCGATTGCCTAGCAGTGTGAGGCACCGGGTTCGATCTTCAGCACCACACAAAAATAATACACAAAATAAAGTATTGTGTCCATCTACAACTAAAATATTGAAAAGAAAAAAAAAGCAGAAAAAGATCCCTTGAAACAATAAAGAGCGTTCAGAAGTCGGGTGTTTGGGAGAGAAGCAAAAAAGGAATGGCCTGAATGGTTCATGGAGATCTTATGCAGCAGGAGACTAGGTAATAAACTGAATCTCAGTGTGAAGAAAAAAGGAAAAGTTAACACAAGGGAGGTGCATCCTCAGGACACCAGGATTTATTCTCCACTGTAGTTACTGTCCCGAGAATCTCTGGAAGGGTACCGGCCAAGCAGGGAGGCTAGCCAGCTCTGCAAGG